GGGGTTTCTTGGGAAAAATTTGAAAAAGAAAGATAGAGAATTAGAGTTGGGAAAAAAATTGAAAATAAATAAAGAAAAAAAAAAGAAGAAAAATTGAAAGAGAAAAGTAATTTTGCAAGATTGTAACATAAGAACAAACGGTGAACAACGTGACTTAAAGAAGAGAGGAACATGATTGAGGGAGAAGAGCAAAAAGTAATTTCACATCATAATAATATCAGCATAAGATTTGAAAAACAAGTTTTTAAAAATCAGATAAATTTCATTAGCGCACAATTTTTTAGGTCCTTCCTGAAAATATCCCTAATATCAAGTGTATTATATTAGATATATAAGTTGATGGAAATAACGAGGAAAAATAGAAATAACAAGAAAAAAAAAAAGAGATTTAAAATTGTCATATTTGCAGCTATTGCGATATTTGCAAATATGGTAATGTTTTTACTACCTAAAAAAAATGCCCAAACAAATCGTCACAACAATTAGGCCACTCGAAAATAAAAATTTTCATTCCCATTAGCATGTTTATTAAAATATAAAAATGAGATCAATAGGTGAGATTCACCTTAAACTTAAAAATCACTCGTAAACAAAGAATCACATCTCAGTTGATTTAATTTAAATTCCTTATCATTTTGATTTTGAATAACTAAATGGAACTTAAATCCTGTGAAAGCTGAAAAAGTTTGGACGATAGTTCCAAAAAATTTGTAAAATGACCAGTAATTTTTCTAGGGTGAGCCAATGAAGCAAAGTTATATTAGCAAACTCGCTGCATTATGCCCATTCCCATGGTCACAACACATTTTATAGTCTCTCTTTTCTGATCCTAATACAATTACCTTTCTTTTACTCACCAGGAGCTGTTTCTTCGGAAGTCGAGGTATCAAATTTCGTTAACAAATCGATTAAATCAGTATGGAGTCTACTGAACCAATTATAAAACTAAAACGAATCATTCAAGAGTGTAACAAGTTGGGGATAAAATCAAGGCCATAACCATTAAGATTATATAGTTTATGTGGGAAGCATCAGAAGGTGTTGTACATGGTTTGTAAGAACATGTTTACATAATTTACATGAAGAAATGATATATACAGGAGACAAACAAATGAGCAGTTGCTTCTGGATTACCAAAAAGGGCACCACCTGCATGAAGAAGGGCAGTTGCAGTTACATGTTAAAATACTAGATGGTAATGACTGGAATATGATTTACGCAGACGTGCCATGGGTTGCACGACGTCGTCATAGCAAAAGATTTTGTAAATTTGTATTTCAGGCAATCAACATTATGTTATATATAAATAAGAGGATGAAGGGGAATGGAAAAGGAGTGAACTTTAACATACCCGACGTAATTTTGACACAGGTTTTCGTGTGACATAGCTTGACCGATTAACTTCTCAACTTGCAGCTTAACAGATAGACCGTGATCAACTTCACGGGAATCCCCAGATATTAAGGTGCTGTGGTCGACTGCTTGTTGAACCGAAGTGGTTGACATAGAAGAACAAGTGGGGAAATCTCGTCCAGTTAGTTTGTTACTCATGCGAGCCATTACAACAACAGCACGCTCGTTCAAAACCTCATTGGCATCACCAAGTTGATTAACAGCCTACACAATGTGAAGGATCAGCATCATCCTCTGAGAGCTGTTATACCTTTTTTTCAAAAATAACTTTTCTTTTCTAAAAAATAAAAGTAGTTTTAATTTAAACATTTGTGTTTGGTACATCATAAAAGTGATTTTAATCCTAAATTTGTTTGATTTCACTGCATATAAAAGTGATTCTACAAAAGGGTTACCATAAATGGATTCTCAGAATCATCTATCACTTTTTTGAGATTCAACTTTATTTATTTTTTTAAACAAGAAATGAACTGTTCATTGATTGATGAAAAGAAACAAAAATTATCCAAACATTTTGGAGAATCGACTTTAAAGTGTTTCTTCACAAAATGATTTAAGACCAATTTGATTATTTCAAAAGTAATTTTTATTTGTTCCCAAACACTTTTGAAAAAAACACTTTGGGCCCCTACACAATCACTTACAAAGTCATGCCAAACACACACTTAAGCGTGTTGGGTGTCTTAGGTTTTACCTGAAGAAGCTCTCTTTCACGAGCGCCTCGTTGAGGTTGAGGAAGTTCGCGACTTTGAGCAGAATCTTCGGCATTCACAACAGCAGGGGCATGGGTGCTTGCAAACATCGACATTTGTGGGACTTCATTGAAGTTGAAAAGACGCCAGTTTATAAGAGGGTCGTGAACAAAAGCCTGAGAACAGTGAAGTTAAACTAGTTACCTCCTATTTCTATCATGCATTTAAACCAAAGAAACAGTAAATCGCAGTATGCATCCTCATTCAATGAGGTCTTGATGGAGAAAGCTACATGAAGAACTTGGAGAAGGAAAGAATTTTTCGTTGATATCATTAACTTCCCAAAGAAAACTCAGATGTCAAGAACTCTAAAAGTTAAAAAGAAAAGAAACTGAAAGCAACTAAAGAGAAGGGTACAATTTGGTTCAACCAATCAAAACATGAAAAGAAGATTAATTAATATTTATTTTCTGGAACTGTAAAAATACAACACATGATCTCATTATTGGTAAGTTTCCAAATTCCAAGAGGCTTGAGAAATGGAAGAGTGCAATTTTCTAGAAGGGAGGAAGACTAACTAATCAATTTTTAGACTAACTCTTATTAATTATTAAATTGGTTCTCTCTAGCATGCTAATTTACAATATGGTCCTCTTCCGAATCCCAAAGTCAAAACCCTTGGAAAGAGGATGACGGACTTTATTTCGGCTAGAGAAACAGATTTCCACATCAGCAAAGTTCCCAATTACAAATATTCCGGTAGGGCTTGTTTGGTTGGCAAGCTGAATTTTGTTTCTTGTTTCCAGATTCAATAAATGAAATGGATTAAGTGAATATGCGTTTGGCAAACCCTTTTGAAAACTATTTTTAGATTATGTGATCCAAATAATGGAAATTTCAAAACAAGATTTTTATATTTGCAATTTTATAAGATTTTGAATTTGAAACTTTAAAAGGATAAAAATTTGATAAATATACTATTTCATGTTATAAATTCATCTCGTTTAAAACATGTAAAATATAATATATTATAAATTATATAATATTGTAAAATAATTATTTTACAAAATTTATAATATATATGTTAATAAATTAATTAATAATATTATAGATTGAACTGAATGTTAGTGGGTAACTACCAATAATTTAAAATTTTTTAATTAAACACCTTAAACAATTTTTTAAATTGAGATTTAATTTCCAATTCTGCTACCAAACATATATCTAATAACATGAAATACAACTCAATTTCAGATCACCAACCAAGTGCACCATCAACTTTTACCCATGTTCTTAGCCAAGTGACTTAGTTTTAGTTAACAAGGTAGATCCCCAAATCACCCCAATTAGGTGAATAGACCACGCACAAAAATACACTAGCTCAACTACAAAATCAAATAATCAAAAGACGCCCAAACTCAACCCATAAAAATGCTGGAACCTATCTGACAACCATTAATATATCTTCGTTCAATTATAAAAGCATCCGCATCAAACTACAAGTAAAAAAAAGCAACCAACCAAAAAAATTTTAACCATCGTTCAAGTTAAAATTTATTGAAAGTTCAAACATTAAAGTTAAATTTGACTCGACGGAGTACAATGGTAATTTTTTTTTAAGCTTCTAGCCCTTGGGAGATTAGTGACTCAAATCATCCGTGGGTTTGTCACCCCTCAGAATTCTTAATCAGAGGTTGTACTATTTAACCAAGCAAAGACATTGGTTGGCAAATGTTAGAACCCAAATAGAGCATGGTCGATTGAATTCAGCAAACTGCTTTCTGATTGTGAGACTTATGAAAATAATGCAAAAATGGCAACAGAGTTTTCATAACTTACCTCCATCATCGCCATAACACTATCCTTGTTCGATCGAAGAACTTGCATCACATTTTCACACGTGGAACGGAAGTTTCCCTCAATGCCACTAACCTCCATAGCCTTGACAAGCATTCTAGTCAATCGGAAGGGTACCTTCATCATGCATTTCAAAGAAGAGAATTTGAAAAATGAAATCATGGAAATGAGAACTACATACAATAAACTAAAAGTTACAAATACCTTCTCAGGGAATTTTTCTCTGTTCATTGAAGCTTCAAAGCAATCTCCAAAATCAATGTGCAAGATCTTACCACTGCAAAAGCCTCAAAGGCCAACGAAAATGAGAACATATCTAAACAAAACGTCAATATGCATACTTGTAACTAAAACTTACGTATAACGATGCAGCATAAGGTTACTTGGGTGACGATCACCCAAGCCAAGAAGGTAACCAACCTGATGACATTTTTCCAAGAGTTAAATTACAGAATAGAATAGAAAGGCATTAGATAGGGATATATTGGTATTGCAGACAAACTGTACATTATGTTAGCAAGTAAGATGATGAGCACATTAAAATCTGTGGACATCACCTTTTTTTTTTTGTCGAGAGAATTTATTTGATAAAATAACATGTACAACAAATGGGAATCCTCACCAGGGAAGTGATAAAAGTTCTTCCAGCTAGATCAAAAACTGGGAATAAAATATTTACAAAAGGTACTGCAATTCTTCATGTGGAAACTATGGAGTTGTTTTAGCACAACAACTGGGGATGGGGGATTGAACCTCCAACCTCTAGAGAAGGAGCAAGATGCCTTAACCATTGTGTTAGCAGAACAAGTTCCTTTCTAAAAGAAAACTTAATGATTTATTTGAAGTCATAAGGACCATAAGAAGAGTTACAAAAATGAGCCACAAAATTTTAACTTCTTTTAACACGTGTCCATCCAAAATGAGCACAAGGATGATCATTTGGGAGAGGAGTTACCCAAATGAAGAAAAGATAACATTGAGGTACCGAGCTTGCTTTGCTTTGCATAGGTAGCATCGATTTTGGAGAGGCAAACAGTTGACACCTTCTTTAGACATTGTGTTGAGTGTTGGTATTGCTAAGAAAGAGTTTCTGTAGAATGGAGGTGAGTTTGTGTTTGGACCTGAGGCATACACAAGAGTTTTTGATAATGTTGGAAAGATTTACAATTTTCCATGGAAGAGGAGGAAAAAATAAGGGTATCATTAGCATATTGGAGATGAGAAATCTGGTCAACATTGTGACAATGGAAACCTTCGATGTAGAGAGGTCATAAGCTTGTTCATATGGCTTATAGGTTATGATTCTTTTAAGTGTTCCTTTTACACCTCAGGAACTATAAAGTTACTGTTAGTTCAGAATCCTCTATATACAGGCCTTTCATTCATTAATGAAGGATAGATTGAATCATTCTTAAAACTTTTGTCCAAGATTCCATTATTTCTCAGCTGTAAATCCATCACAAATTTGTTTGAACCCCAAATCAGAAATAACAAAAATGATTTCCTCCATGAAAAAGGCTTCTATTTGGGTCAATCTGGGATTATGGTGTGGCGGTCAAAAAGTTGAACTGGGGTGGCTTTGGTGGGTGGAGGAATAAGAGCCAAATGATCAAAGGGGAAGCAGGGGAAAGGGTTAGTAGCAACTTTGAAGTCCTTAACAAACAAGCTAGAAGGAGAGAAGACAAAGAAGAGCAACAACTTCTTAATCTTTAATCGAGGAGGGGAGGGTAGACTTCAATAGAAAAATGTCAGGCACCAATTTACTCTTTACTTTTCGAGGGGGAAAGAACAACGGGTGGTGGTTTGCATGTTTTCTTAAAAGAGAGGGTCACATGGTTGGGGGTGGTGTTGTTGGAACCCACAAGGTTATGATGATGACAACCTTG